TATATATATATAACACTTTTTTTTTATATACATACAGTTTGCATGATGCTTGCCTTCTGTAATCCCTTCTATAGGATGACTCAGAGTAAGACAAGGGGGTGGTTAGCCTGTTAGCCAATCGGGGACTGCTGCACCACACAGTGCAGTCAATTTCAGACTGAGCTATGTGCGAGAAGCAGAGTGGTGCTGCTCCTTTATCATCCAGTTACAGACTAGAGTTGGATGCTAAACCAGGCTGCATTGTTCAGCTGATTTGTATTCTGCAAACAGGTTGCAGGGGCAAAAGGACCCAGCTTTCCTTCCTGGCAGGAATGACTACTAAAACAGAATTACAAGTCTTTTTCCAGGTAAAACTGTTAAAACATATGTATTATTTATGTATGTGTGTTTAGCCATTTGCTTGATGCTTAAGTTTACACTACAGATTATCCATAGCAGTAGGCTACCAAGCATTTACAAAAATTCTTTAAACACTGCAACAAAAGTGGCGTAAAGCAGGCTTTGTTTAAAAATATGGTTTTATTAATCAGCTTATTCATACCAGTCTGTAAAACAAAGCGCAATTTTAGTTTAAACACAGGACAAAATGCTGGGGGGGGGGAATCAGTGATACTGATCAGTGAAATTTCTAACATTGACAAATATGTCCACAATATTCCACACATCTGTGGAGACAATAGTAGAGCACTTTATTGTAGACCTAAAAGGTGAACTGGTCAGGAAACAAATAAGGAGCTGCAATTGCTGAATTTTCTAACAGTATGAGCTTCATGGTTGTCCTATCAAGCTTTGCTTAATAGTTTAGTGGACCAGTGAACCCAAAACAAACATGTACTCCCTGAAAACCCAGGACTATGAGTATCAACATAGGCGTTTTATTTGGTGACTGAAATAGTAAGGCATGTAAAAAGGAAGATAGCCTAGAGCTTGCACTGTAAAAAACAAGTCAACAAAGGCAACTTTCATATTTCCATACTGACGGATTCTTTTAGGTATCTGAACAGCTCCCACAGTGTTATGTCGATGATCATAGGGAAAACAATTATTGGTCCCATCGGGGACAGCATGACTTCCAAGTCTTTTTATGCAGATTTAGACTTGGATCTCTTGCCTTGCCCACGAATGCTCAGCAACAAGAGAAGACCCAGGCAGACAGCAGCTGGAGTACACATGGCAATTGGTTCCTTAAGTACTAGAAGGGTGTAGATTGCACCTGAAAAAGAGAGAAAAACAAATATATAATTTAATCACAACACATTACTAATGGAGCACCAGCAAAAGAAAAGTGCATTTGTGATGAGGGGATAAATGTGAGTATGCAAGAAAGTCAAGTCAGTAAGTAAAATAAAATGTCCTAAAACTGGCTCTTTAGCAAATTCATGTTTCTATACAAATCTGTAGGTCCAGGTTTAAAATTTGAGTTTAGGAGATCCACTTCCACCACTATTCTGTTCTGGTGCCTACTTTATCTGTGTCAGGTGTACTGTGGCAGAGATCGACATTTCTATCTAAAACCGAACACACATTACAGAGATGTCCATGTGAGAACAAAAACAAATTCTTCCCAACACCGTGAGTCACTTGTAAGTACTTCTATGATCATAGAGTCTATAACATAGAGTCTATAACAAACATGTGTCATGTCTGACACCAAACTTTAATGTCCACCAAGCATTCCTGATTAATGTACAGCAAATGTAGGTCTCAGCAGACCTAGGACTTTAAAAGAAATATAAAGCTACAACTGTTAGCAGTCAGTCTCCAATACACAGTAACACTAGTAGTTTATGGGACCAGGAACAACCCATTTAATAACGTGCCACCCATCAACATTAGATTTTTCTTTAACCTCTTGCCGTCCGCCCGTAGTAAAAAAACGGACGGACGGCACTGCAGCATCTGCGGGTTGCCGTCTCCAGACGGCAATTTTTTTCTGCTCGCGCGCGCCCCCTAGCGGGCACGCACGGGCAGAAAAGACCCGCTAAATGCACACACCCGATATTTCACATACAGCTTGAGTCCAATGGGCCAAGTCACCGGCTGCTTTGTAGTACATACTGGGAACTATACCCACAAGATTTTCCTGCCATAGTTCCCTCTTTGCAACCCTACTGCCATGTGACAATAGCAACTTTGTAGCAGCTACAAATGTATCTGGCCTGCTACAGAGTTGCTGCTGGAGCTGACTACAATGTTTAACTAGATAACTACAAATCTATGGTGTAGTATGATCAGCAGCAGCTGCATAACATGTGTAGCTACTGAACCCTAGTGATTGTGTAGATAGCTCCAAATGCTGCAATAAGGCATTTTATGACTAAATTACAAAATGCTTGTAAGTGAGTGCTAAGGAGAACGATTCTGTAGCTGCTACAAAAAGCACTAATGTGACATGCCTCCTGCCACAAAAAGTCAATCTCCTCCTGCTGCATTCTTCATCACAGTTTGCTGGTGTGCAGACAGTGCAGCCCGAGAAAATAAATAGGCAATTCTAATTTGTTTTTTCACCAACAACCTACAAAGGAAACACCTCCTTTATTTTGTATTCAATTGTGGCCAGCAGGGGTCACTTTCCTCTTACTTTACTCACTGGCTTGCAGTCAGGATTCTTATGTACTCAGAGCTGTTCGTTCATTTCGGCCTCAAGCCTCAAAAACCACTGAAGGAATACTAAAATATCATTTCTAAGTAAAGTTTTTTTTTTTTTTTTTTCCTAATTCTCGGAAAATAAGAAAGAAAGAGAAGAGAAAAAAAAACACACTGTTTTAGACCAAAACAGCAGCGTAGTAGTGCAACCTATAAAAACAAACAAACAATTCTTAAATATACTACCACCCTCACCAGAGGTAATATTAGGTATAAGCTAAATATTTATTGCAAGAGTGATTATTATGTTGCTGCATAACACCATCTACACCAGAAGAGGGTGAGTCACAGTCCAGACATAGCAAATAAGAGGCCCAGGACACAAGAGGAAAAAAGAGAGCCGGCATGGAGGTCATCACACATCCAAGACTCCATCAAGACAAGAATAACACGAGTTGCTCTCTAGAATGGTTACACTAGACACACAGCAAAGCCATGAAATAGAATAGGCACACATAGAAACACTTAGGGCAATGAGGTACATGCTCACTGTAAACAGCGTAAAAAAGAAGCACATCAATTAGGACTCAGTTATTGGATTGCAGTGGGCCTAGCAAGCAATTTCAGAGTTAAAATGGAAGTCCACTGTGGTGGGTGAACTCTTTCCATGCGGAGCTTAAATGTAATAACTTTAATGGCATAAAACTGAAACAGCATCAGCAAAGTCTGGAGTTGCTCGAGGTTTTTAGTGAAAATCCTACCTGGCCCGACAGGCTAATGGAGGTCAAAAGGAGGAAATCTGAAGGTAATCTGGTGAATAAAATTGGATGAACTCTATCCAGAAGTACTGAATCTTCAGTTACAGTTACTACAGTTACAGAAAATATGTGTAAAATCTGCAAGAGAGGCTGGGCAGTGGCAGAACTGTGAGGAGGCTGTGTGATAAAATGTTAACACGTTTTGATGGAGTAAATTATAGTCTATGAATTAACATATACCGAATTCAGTGGTCCTTGTCAAAAAAAGGTGGGTTAAGGTATAATTCTAGGTGTCCGCCCAATCATTCCACTATAGCCTGAGGAGTAGGAGTATAGGGAACAGTTTTTACATACACACATAACTTTATATACACTGGAAAAAGGCTTCCCAAGTGAATCATCTCTTAACAGCTCAAATTTTGTGTTCCGAATGCCCAAATTACACTTTCCAAATGACAGAAATGCATGGCGAAGTTGTAAATCCCTAAAGATGTAAAAGTTAGAAGTAGAAAGCAATCAAAGCTTTATTGGATTGTATAATAAATTCCAGTATTTTTATGCCCCTGGATGCCCTCAAGGCTCGGTCCTAAAATCATAAGGAAATGCAAGTGACCTTAGTCTTTAAATGATACAAGAGTTAATAGGGTTCAAGCCAAACAAAACCAGTCTGTTAAAGCAACCTGGTCACACGAGTTCAAAAATAAATCATGCTGCCCACTACAGGACACAGGAGCAACATAGCAGCAGGTAAGAGGAACAGGGTGCAAACAACAGTAGTTTTCATAGAATTGACTTACTGCCTGCTGGAAGAGCAAGTATTAAATATGTTCTTTTACAGGGTAAAATGGAAACTCTAGCAACAGCTTTCCTTAAAGGCATGCTTTCTTCAGATGCCACCTTTGACTTCTAAAAATATACTAATTTCACTCGAAAACAAAATAGCTGTAATCTTCCACACTCCCCTCAATCCTCTTCTACAATACTTCGTCCTGTTGCAAGCAAAAAATGCCCCGTTTATGGTGGTTATACAGGACTGCTGATTAAATCAGCAATATTTTTGATTTGCCTGTACAATTGCATGTGACCCTGCCTGATCTGTGGTTAATCATATAACTCGCATTCTTGATCCTTGGACTGTATATGTTCATTGCAAACATGTATTTTAAATTTGCCAGCAACCGCCATAGCCACACAAAACTGAAATACCAGTTTGTGGCAAAGTTGTTGCTTATTCACAGTAGGGCTGCAACAACTAATCGATTATATGTCGATAATGAGAATCATTGTCAACGATTCTCATCGATTAGTTGCAGCTTCTGCGGCTGCTCTACTTCTCCGTTCGCCTCCCCGCTGGTGCTGGCTGCAGAGGTCTGTGTCCCTTTCAATCCCCGCTTGCTTCGGTAGAGGCAGCGGGGACCAGCTGTGCCTCTGCATTACCTCACTGGTGCTGCCGTTCCTCCGCTGCAGTCGGTGGTAAAAAGTTGGCGCAAAGCTCCCTTCAGCGGCTGAGAGCAATATCCAGCCTACTATTGGACATTTTAAATTGCAATAGCAGGCTGGCTATTGCACCCGCCCTATCAAACCGAAGAGGACCTTTCTCCTTCAGTTCCCTCCTCTGCTGATTGACAGCAGGAAGTGGGTGTGCAATAGCCAGCCTTCTATTGGCTATCGCAATTTAAAATAACCAATAGCAGGCAAACTATTGCTCCCAGCCACTGGCTGCTGTGTTGATATTCAGCTGGCTCAACACTTGAATCCAGTGAAGTGGAAATGTGACACTAGGGGCCTAAAAGACCTCTGTCACCTTAAAGAGTACCAGTCATTTCCAATGTGCCATCACAAAGGGGGCTTGTGAGCCCCCCATGTGATCGCAATGAGGTAAAAAAAAAATGTAATAAGTAAAATTAAAAAAATACAGCCCAAAAACGTAAAGTCCCCAACCTTGCAAATTCTCGTATACTAACGGAAACTCGAGTCGGGTGCACCTACATAGAAAAATGACGATAACACTACACATGTCTGGTATCGCCGCGTGCTGGAGTGAGAGTAATAATTCTCCAGCCAATATTCATGGCTAACTCTAAATTGATGATTGGGCTTTTATAATAAATATAAAAAAGGTGGCAAGTGTAATTTTTTTTTTTCGGCCTGAGAATTCTGCTCCGGAATGTGCGTTGTGGTGCCATTAATTTTAATAGCATCCAAAACGCACCTCCCGGCCGCAGTGTGATCACCTGCAATGGAACGTGAGGTACTGCAATACCATGCATTCCAGTGCGGTGCGAGCGCAAAAAATGTGCATACCGTTTTATTCTGAAGTAAACTTTGTAACACTGCATTTGTGTATTTTATTTAAATCAAGCATGGGTTTGTTTGTTTTTTATCCGATTATGCGAGGGGAAAAAAAAAAAATCGGCCAACTAATCGATTATGAAAATAGATGCAGCCCTAATTGGCAGTTAGCTAAACTGTCATAAAAACACATGAAGCCATGAAGAGGTTAATACTATGTAACATGACTGTAGAGGAACTAAATGCCAGTAGTTCAGTCAGATGACGTGGTCTCAGCTGCAGCACTATGCATAATAAATGGAAGTACATGCAAAGATTGAGGGAAGGGCATTTGATCTGCCATGTTAGTCAACCACCTCTCACTGCCTCCTCCTCATCGCAACAGTTTCCATTGGAAACAGACGAGATTAAATCAGGGACAGTGAAGAATATCACCAAACAACAGCTGCAGCTGGATGTCTGGTGAAGAGCTTGTAAAGCCACAAGAAGCAATGCTCTGCAGATTGCTATGCTGCTGGCTATTCACTGACTCCCCCTGCTGTGATGAAGATAAATGCAAAAAAAACAGGATATGAAAACTTCTGCAGGGGAAAGCACAGAATGTGTTACATATGATGCAATATTTATTATCCAGGTGAAAGCTCACAGGCTGGTACAGGCCGCAATACTTTAAATTATTCAGCTAGCTTTCTGAATACTGCAGATGTACATTTTTTAGATAAAAGTGAAAGTGGCTTGAAGAGTAAGCATTATATGTGCAACCCTGACAAGAAACCAGAGAATATACACATAAAAGGGCTCTACAATGTTTGAAGTACACATACATCACGGCTCTTTAAAAAGGCATTCGATGAACAGATGCCATGCGCATGTTGCAGATGCAAGAATCATCCTCTTTTCTGCATAGAAAAGAGAACAATGGCAGTAAACAGATATTTTTCACATTTGTGTTTAGTAACAAGTTCTTGTGATTATAAAGGAACTTCCTAAGGCCTCTTTCAGATTGCCGGTCCAATCGGGTCCGCCTGTCAGTTTTTCAGACAGATCTGATAGGAAGCCCAATGTTAGTCTTGGGCAGCTGGACGTAAACAGACGTGCATCTGTTTACATCCAATTCCCCCCCTCCCCGACTCCAACCAGGTCTGGGAAAACCAACAGAGCTCCGTTTTGGCGGACCTGATCATGACGCATCGAGGTTATCTGATGTAAACTGACACATGTGCATTTACATCCAACTCCCCCTGGGTTCAGCAAGTTCAGTTTTGGATGGTTACAGATGTCGGTGACATTCATTCCAAACTGCTTTGATTAGTAGGGGAACCGTGCACTGATCCCCTGCTGAACTGACAAGTGCGCGTATGGAAGAGGCCTTATTGCCTACTAGTGACTATCTGCAAGGTTCAAGGGTTCTTCAATCATTGCAGACAAACAATGGGTCATATGGCTGTTCCTCTCTGTAAAGCCTTGTACATAGAGACTTCAGCTAGCATTAGAGCACTGTGAAGCATGTTTTATAAAAGCATAAGGAGGAGTACCAGTAGTCACTAAACAAGTGGCTACCAGGCTTTCAACGGGTTTCAAGCAGTGCTGAACTTGCTAGCAGCTTGTTTAACCCCTTCATGACCGAGGCCTTTTTTTCGTACCCATGTTATAATCTACATTTTAGAAATAAAAAAATGACTTCAAACCCACAAACATTATGTATTTTATGAAAGCCAAGTTCCTGTAAAATAAAATGGTGCCAGTTGCAAACTTTTATGTTGCACGATATTAGCGCAACTTATTATCAAACCCAAAAATATAGTGAAAAATGCACTCAAGTTAAATTTAGTGCCCCAAAACATAAATACCCATTTTTAAAAAAAGTAAAATATAAGATGAGGTTGCAAGGAGGAAATAGATACCTAACATGCCCAGGTAAAATATTGTGGGCGTCTGTGAAACAGCAACAAATTTCAGTACCCCAAAAAGTCCATAGACGACGCTTTAAAAGCCCTTACAGGTCATCAGTTTTGATACGCATAAATATTGGCCCTAAAATTATTGCTCTCACTCTGGCGCGGGCGGCGGTACCCAACATGTGTAACGCGATAGTTGTTTTCATACGCGGGCGCACCCGACGCTTGTTATGACACACGTGCACGTGGGGAAGGGGGATTTTAAAAACATTTTAATTTTTTTCACCTTTATTTTATTTGATACGGTTTTTAAAAACGGTTATTTTTATTTACATTGCTTTCATTGCTATCACAATGGGGGGCTTAGAAGCCCCCCATTGTGATAGCAGATTGGTGGTGACAGTTACTCCTTAAGGTGATGCTAGGGGGTCCAAAAGACCCCCAGTGTCACTTTTACACTTGAAATAAGCTATTGAACTGCAGATCGCACTTCAATTTCTTATTGCTGGGCTTCAGGACAGTTATGGGCATTGAAGCGATGCATTACACTCCCATAGTACGGGTAGAAGATTAAGGGACAGAAAGGCCTAAAAAAGGCAGGGCTTGACAAATCCCAGGCTCCAGGTTGCCAATGCGACTAGAAATTGCGTCCTGGCAACTGGGCTTTTGTCAGCCCGTTCACTGCACCTTTTTCTTATGCCACCACCACAATAACTATGCCATTCTCCTCTCTGCTGCAGACTGTCAGCTGTCTCTCCTTACAGGCTGTAATCAGCTGTAGCAGTCTGTCAGAGGGGACACAGATCGCTGTAGTCGATTACAGACCATGAGGAGAGACCGCTGAAAGTCTGAGTCTGGTGGCAGAAGACAAAGTGACTAAATTTTTACATGACAAACAATTGTAAGCATATTTTTTTTAAAAAGTGACAATGTTTCCGTTGACTAAGATGAAAATAAAAGAACTTCTCCACAGACACTACACTACAGATCCCTTGAGCATCTAAGCCCATGATATCATTTCTCTAAGCCGGATGGAATGGGTAGGGTTCAGCCTTTTACCAAGCCTCAACTGCTTTTCTGCACTTCAGTCAGTAGACCATATCCTACCCGTGGCGCAGCTGTGGCTGTAATAAGCAGCTCATCTGAAATTTTAATCCAATATAATAGATAATCCAAGGTGCTCCTAAATCAGATCCAGTAGATTTATGCTACTCCCTGAAAACAGCAAGACAGTTTTCGTGCCAGAAGATTCTGCGTGGATCACATTGCCATGCACCGTATCATTGTGGAGCAAATCAATGAATACCAAGGAGTCCCTCCACTTGGGTATTCATGGATTATGAAAAAGCATTCTATCCGACTCAGTCATAACATCTGGGATGCTCTTAGACGTAGGAGAGAGTTCTGCACGATGGAGTATTGTCCGATCCCATTCCAGTCACCGCCGGTGTGAGACAGGGATGTATCGCATCGCCAGTACTTTTCCTTTAGAGTAAAAAAAATCGATGAGATCTTAGCTGGAGCCATTGACTTAAGGAAATGGAGGATTGCATTGGCACCCAATCACCGTGGAACAATTAAATGACTGACTTTGCCGACATTGTACTTAGTTGGTATTTGAGTACTTAGCATTTGAACTTAGCGTGGATATAAAAAATAAGCTCCAGGATCACACTGAAAGCTCCAAAGCTGCGGGTCTAAACATTAATGTTGCCAAGTCGATGGAGGTACAGTAAATACAGCTAACCTCTCCAGCTTCAGTGTCTGGCCAACAAGTTGAAAAAGTTGACACTTTTCAATAACTTGGGAGCCAGATTACGCCAGACAGTGAAACCAAGATTGACATCTTCACACGGATCAGAAAAGCCCAAGGCGCTTTTGCAGGCCTCTAATGTATGGCGCTCGAACCAGATAAGTCTTTGAACAAATATTCAAGTCTTTAATTCTAATGTGAAATCTGTGCTGCTTTATGCGAGGGAGACATGGGTAGTATCAGTGGACACTATGGATGCACCCATACTGGTTTTTCAGTATTGGGTATGAGTACTGATATTTATCGGTACTCGCCGATACAGAGTACCGATACCCAGCCAATCAGCATCAAATTAGCCAGTCATTATCCGCCATCTGGCTTTCAGATCGGATCCAAGTTCCCTTGCGCTACTGCCAGTCAGAGTTAATCTCCCTGGAAGTTCCAGCGAGTATCAGTACTTGCCCAAATACTTGGTATTGGTACTGATACTGCATCCCTAGTGGAAACCACACAAAACTTGTAAACTGTTGCCTGCCATAAATCATTCAAGCCGAAAAATTTGGATCCTTAATATAGAGCTTGTCTGGTGGTGTCACCAAGGACCGGTTGCAACAGAGATCCTAGAGCGTAAATGGAGATGGATTGGACTTACCTTACAAAACAGCGCAAATGAAAGGGAGAGGCAGACCCAGAGGCTCCTGGTGGCGAAGCCTAAATGATGATATCAAGGCTGTTGACATGAATTTGACCTTGCTGCAGGTCAAATCAAAGGTTGGGAACTGTCAGTGGCCCTATGCTCCCTAATGGAGCAGGATATATAACTAAATCGATATCCAATAGATGGAATTAGTGGTCCTAGGAGGACCATACTGTGTATAAGCCTGGTATTAGAACGCAATATCAGTATAAATGATGTGCTTCAGCTGCTCTCTAACACAATGTAATGTTTCAAGGACCAGCAACAGGTAGTTTTCCCAAACCCCAGCCACTTATACAACTGTGCAAATCAATCACAGAAACCCATTATTCACTTCAATACTTCAGTGAAGAGAGCTGGAAAACATGACCCGATAGCAGTCCCTGTGATCGGCTTCAACAAACACGGGGTTTGTCTAAAGGGTTTTTCATTGGAATCCACATAAAACTATTCTTGGCTGTTATGTAAATGACAATAGTAATCAACTTGATATCCAAGTTCATTGTGCTGAGTGTAGATTGGGTAGATCTCCTGGTTGGGTTCCTGGCATCAAAAACGTGGAAGAGGTGGGAGATGAAAGCCTACTAACTCCATTCAAAAGAGGCATGGCTATTTAAATATTGCAAGGCAAAAAGCAATGTACGGAAATAACGAGATATGAAAAAGATGAAGAGTATCTCACCAATCATGATTACGCAAAGCACAAAGTTGCTGATCTCTTGCAGAATCTGTGGGCCGAAGGCCAGCAGTATCCCAGCTACCAGCTCCACCCATCCTACTGCCTGCAGGTACTGATATGGATCTGGCTTGAACCCAAAGTCCTTCAGAGGGAAGACATCTGCAAACTGGACAAACTGTGATTTCTGAAGAAAAAGCAAAACAAAAACAAATGATAAAATGTTATTTGTGTCTGTCAAATGTAATAAGAAAAAGGCAGGCTAGAAAGATTATCATTGCTGTAAACAGAATTTATCACCCTTGTTTTTTTACTTCACCTGCATGCATGAGTATGGACAGCTTATAATACACCTGTCATAGAAGTGTCAGACTTGAACAAGCATGCAGCAAAATGAAAGCCCAAATTCCTTACTGGTCAGTAACGTACTCGACCAATTTTAGTAGAGCATGTTCACTTTCAAACAGAGAATACTATCGTTGCAACGCATGCCCAATCATGTGCAAGGAAAATTACAAATAAAACGGGGATTTTTACTCACATGATTAGAGGACTTAGGCTGGGTTCACACCTGGGCGTACGGAATATGCGCGTTACCGCGATTTGAGGTAAAAGAAACACGCAACAAACGCACGTTTCCGAGGGCTATACGGCTGTATCCCAATGGATATGCTTGGTAAATACACCACAAAGAAGCTCCTGTACTTCTTTGGGCGTAGGGCGTTTTACAGCTCGTGGGAACGCGCTGTAAAACGCCCAGGTGGGAACCATGCCCATAGGCAATTATTGGTTTTCAAATGTTGAGCGTTTTACAGCTCGTGGGAACGAGCTGTAAAACGCCCAGGTGTGAACCAGGCCTAAAGTCAAACACAACTTTATCCAATTCAGCAAGTTAAGTGAAAAATTCCCTTTGCAAAAGAGATAAAAATAAATAAATCACAGGAGCTGAAGTTGTGTTGACTTTAATCATGTGTGTGTAAAAATCTTGTATTTTTGTTTTTAATTTACCATGCACTTGATATGGATATTGGATATTCTTTGCAAAGTGTAGTGCACCCTTTAGTGTTGGCTTTTCAAAGAAATATGCAGGTACAGCTCCTATCTGAATCCTGTGACAATAATACTGAAAACAGGGAAATCAAGGCACTCCAAAAATCTGTGCGAGTTCTTTATTTTCATCAATCAGCATCCAGAAACATCCAAGACCAACATCTTATGCTTTTCACACAAACTTGCACTTAGAGGACTCTATGATAAAGCGCACATTTGCATGAAAAGCGTTAGTGATGTTGGTCTGAGATGCTTCTGAATGTTGATTGATGAAAGTAAAGAACTCACACAGATTTTTGGAGTACCGCAACTTCCCTGTTTTGAGCATAATTGTACTGCTGGTAGGGAGCCAAGCGTGCACCCAGTGAACGGAGAGGTATAGTGGGCCAACCTGGAGCACTTGCTGTTTATACTTGAATCCCTTGACATCCAGTAATACACACAAGAATGTTAGTGTTTTACTTATGTCAACTGAAATGTAAAAAAGATTAACCAAGGCGGCACAACAGAGTAAACCACACGGCAATTGTATAGGTAGACAGCATTCAAATGGTGATCAGCTAACCAATTTATAATGCTGCTGTCTAGTACTGACAGTTTAAGGGCCGGTTCCCACCACAAAAAATGCGTTAGAGCGTTCGGCCACTGGATTTAGGAATTTCATTTAAACAGCGTAATCCCTCTTGCCAGGCTATTTTACGGCACGTGTGCCACTGCCAGAATACTCAATTGGCTGCAGTCACGGTCTGGCCAACAATTTTTCATCCAGCTCCTTCAGATCAGAGGCTGCCGACAGGGCTACCTATAGAGCAAATTTTGGGCGGTTAGATCAAGAATGGCCAGATTTAGCCACCAGTCTCCTCTTTGGACAAAAGGACAAGTTATCGCCTTATTACTCCCCAAGATGGCTCCTTTGTCCAAGGCCCTGCTGCCAAATATATTCCTCCTTCTGACATCAAAGCTCCAGGCTGGTACACATGTCCCTCTCCTGTAGTTTTCCCCATTTACCCCCAATTTCTGCCAGATAAGAGGAAAGGGTTATTTGGCAAAGTGGAACATTTCTGCTGCACCACTACACAACAGGTAGCAAACCAAATGTCTCTGAGGTGGCAACAAAAGTCAATTTTACCAAAGAGGAAGCCACTCCTCTTAGATAGCCACTGTAGACCTGAATCAAAATGTAGATAGATAAGGTCAAATGACAAATTGTAATGTCCTCCTATTATAAAGCGCTGCGCAAACTGTTGGCGCTATATAAATCCTGTATAATAATAATAATAATAATAATCCAATCACCGAGGCACCTTAAATACTAGCAAATAGAAACATTCTTGACATAAACGCTCTTATGTTTGTTAAAATGACTGCTGACAAGTATCTGAGGAACTTATTCTACAGGAACGAAAATGTCAAAAATGTGGCCATAGGTAACAGTCAAAACAATCTCCAAGTGGAACATCCAGATAATCAAGATTTTGTGAATAGGTCTATTTTTACATGTCCCTGCTAGGCAGAACTGTGCTGTATGTACTGTATCACTTTTTATCCAGCTAATCAGTTCACATCATTACACATGAACGAGATGGAGAGAGAGGCAACAAGCCAGCTCTTTTACGTGCCTCACCCAACAGTTTCTCAGCTAGTGGTATGTGTACCCCAAGGGCTACCTCTGACAGGTTTAAGAAATACTGAACACTTACATTTAGAAATCCAGTTTTGACATTTTAGAAAATAAGAAATATTAGTTAGAATAAAATGGGTATATACAACTAGGGGTTGCATACACAAAATGTACACACCCCAAGGGATACTTGAGATCAGCACACTCACACAAGGGGGTACTTAGCATACACAATGACATGGCAAAGAGATGCATCATTTATGTGTTGTAAAGTTGTCACAACTACAATCTCAATATCGATACAAATTAGCTAACTAAAACAGGAGATTGTAGCCCAGGGGTTTGGAAATAAGAACAAAACAAAAAAAAAAAACACTGCTTGCCCGAGGGTTAAAGCAAGGGCCCGAACTACTTGTTCTTCATGACAATCTACTTGTCCCGATACCCAAAAAAAATAAAATTGTTTTAATCAAAATGTTTAAAACTGAAAAAAAAAAAATATAAAAAAAACAAAATAAATGGCAGGCCGAAATCGAAATCTGATCGGTGCGGGAGGAGAGCTCAGCCTCCTGTGACAGCGCTCACAGCCGTCATCTCCCACACACCACTCTCCTGACCGGTCACAGGAGGGGCCGAGAAGGGCGGTGCAGGAGGAGAGTTTGGCCTCTTGTGACACGCCGGCCCCTCACCCCTCTGTGACAGCCTCTCTCCTCCCCGCTGGACGCTATGCCAGAGGGGAAGGGAGAGAAACTAGGCAATCACCGCAATTTCAGCAAAAAGATGGCACTTTCGGCTGATATGTTTCGGTGGCTGGAACTTAGGGGCATCCTTAATCAAAACCGTGCTAAGAAGCAGTTCTCATTGGTCAGCGTGTCCTGACCAACGAGCAAAATCCAAAATGCATAAAATCAATGCACTGGACGGCAGTATGGGGTACAGATTGTACGCCAGTACTGGTGGAGAAAAAGGACTGTTCGCCGAAAGGTAAGTAGAGATGGGGTCAGATTTGAGAATGACATTTTCACAAATTACCTGGGAAAGTGAACTTACCCTTTAAAGCACATTGTGCATGTAAGGGTTCTGCTGCCCGGGTCACCACAATATGGCATGCAGATGAATGGGGGCAGCGCGTGCGCGCACACACACAGATTTCAGATGGTGGGGGTGGCAGGGTTGTTTTATTTTTTTACTTCATCACTTATTTTTTATTGTTTTATTTTTTTAACTTTATTTTTGTCCCACTTAATTTTATTCCTACCACACAGAGGCTTACAAGCCCCTATGTGATAGTTAGGTGACAGGTTCTCTTTATGGAACCAGGCCTTCAACACAGAACTGATCTTCTGTGCAGTTTCTGACAGCTGAGACAGGTGTGCAGTGATTACAGTGCTCAGATCTCACTGAGCACACAGAGCAGAGCAGAGCATGGCGTTCTTCACTCTGCTCCCTGCTCTCCACCCTGAGCTAATTTGCCGTGGTCCTGGGTCCTCCAAAAACCACAACAGGGAGGAAGGGGGACAGACAATCAGGCTGGTATAAGTGATCTGATCAGATCACTTGTATAAAACGTGCATCGGCTCACCACTGTACATTTAGCCCTGCCCGCCCAGAACTGCATGTTCCGGGCGTTGGGCGATAGGAATACCACGTCCCTGTAGTCCATCACAGCAGCGAGCTTGGAGCAGTGACTACTTTACAACATACGCAGAGACCACCACCCTCCAGAAGGAAGGACAGTGTCAGCACAAATTGAGAGATGATTTGAGGATCTACAGCTGATGCACAAATAATATAGTTTTCTTAATAGCTAAGGTACTTTAATGCATTTTTAAGGTTAAACTCCTGAGTTTAGTGTCACTTTGAAGTTGAGAAATACTACCCTACCTTATTGTAAGGTCAGCCAAAATGCAGGTACATGAAAAGGAAAAAGTAGCAACTCTAGGTAGCTAGCACATCATTTAATGAGTATAAATGAAGCTGCCTAGATGTATTGGACAACCAGATCTCCATGATTATTTTTTGTCAGCAAAGCATATGTGCAGTTGTACACTACTCTCTGTAAGAGGTTTATAATTACCACCCAAGGGAGTATTCTTTACACTCAGAACGAAAAAAAAAACTCACCAGCTTTCAATACTTTTATTAATCTTTTGCACAAAATGTTCAATTACTAATGTGAAATGATGCTAAGGTTTCACACATATCAAAGCAAAAAGTCGCTGAAAGTCTTATAATCTAAAGAGATTCTTCAAGCAGTATCAAAAAGGTGCTCATTTACCACCTGTGGAGAGTCATGTATTATTACTGTAACCATCATTTGTTCAGTGACTGCAACTGCTTGCATTTTTGGTCTGTTCATATGTAGACTTCTGGTTCTCTGGGAAATGTGGGGGGTGCTCTTACAAGAGCATGAAGGTTTGAAATCCTCAAAACCTTGGTGTCCAGTCACCAGCTGGCTTTTGACCTCTGTTCATCTGTGTTGAGTGAAGGTTACTGTAAAAACATATGAACAGAGG